TATATATATATATATATATATATATATATGTGATGTGTATATATATAATGCTATTTTCGGCGGAAAGAGGAAAATGGCTGAAAATATATAGCCCGCCAGATATTTTCTGTCCAATTCTTTGTTACTTTCAATAAAAGTGTGGTTATTTCATTAGCTTGTGTTTTTTAAATTCAGTATCATTACAATTACAATCATTACAGTTTGGGTTTCAGCCCAGAATTTTAATTTTGGTGCATTTCTAGTATGTATGTTCATATGTAGGTACATATGAGTCAAGTCACATTTATTTCTATAGCACTTTATACAATACAGATTGTTTCAAAGCATTGTTACAGTAAAAAAACAGGAAAATAGGAGAATCAATTGTGGAAAGTTCTTCAAATATAAAACTAGTATAACATGATCTTTCAGAAATCAATTGGTGCTCAAGAAACATTTATCAATGTAAACAGCAGTGCTGCTTAATTTTTTTTGTGGAAACAGTGGTACATTTTTTTTTTTTCAGGATTCTTTGAGTAGAAAGCTCAAAATATTTGAAATGGAAGTCTTTTGTAACATTATAACAAATGTCTTTACTGTCAATTTTGTCAATTATCGTTTCCAATTCTGATTCTTATCGATTCCTAGTTTCGATTCCAATAAGATAAAAAATCCAATATAAAAAAAATTGCTCTGTTCTCTGTGCTTGCACGCAAACAGGGCGCAAGTTCTTTCCGTTCTTGCACTTAAATCGTTTTTAATCACATTAAAATGCGAACGCAGGAATCGTTAAGCAGAATCGAAATGCATGCGTCTTATCGAATACCCGGTTCTTGGAAATTTGGAACCGGTTTTCCATACCCAACCCTATTGCTAAATAATAATATTAATTTCCTAAAATCTAAATCAAGTCTTGTTTTACCTGTTTTTCCGTTGACTATCTTATTTCAGTGCAAAAAAAGGTCACGATTACAGAAATAAAATGAGCAGCAAAGAGCATTTTTCGTATTATATTTATAGAACTTCAGGTTAGGGTTGTAACGATATACCGGTATGACGGTTTATCACGGTTTGAACGTGCACGGCTATCATATCGTAAACATTCGCATATCTACGGTTTAAAAAAAAAATGAATGAAAAAAAATCTCACCAGCGCACATGCAACTTATTTCCGCTCGGCTGCGTCACTCTGCATTCACTTGGCTGCTTACACGCACGTGCAGCGGAGAAAATGACAGAGACCGAGATAATATCTAATCTCCATCCCGCCGAAAAAAAAGTTAATATCTGCAGTATGGGAATACTTAGGATATTTAAAAAAAAAAAAACGAACGCGGGGCTGTCCTTGAAGACGGATTCAATTTGCAAAAAATGTGGACGCAAAGTGGCTGCAAAAGCAGGCAATACATCCAACATCTTCGCTCATATTCGCGGACACCATCCCTCCGTGCAGATAAAGGTATGTCGCATTAATAGCAAGTTATAAGTTAAGGCCGTATGATTTCCGTGATGCAGAGGGAATCCCGGTGCAGTCGTAAACATGGAATTTACAGTATAATGAGGATGTCACGTAAAACGCGCAATCGGATGGATGGATAAATCAAAAGTAGTTATGATATGTGTCTGTGAATATTAAAGCGCAGAGAGACTGCTATATAAATCTGCTTGTTTCTGCATGTCTCTGAGTGACGCCGTTTTATCTACTACATACTGAAGTACGCATACATAAATGGTGTTTTCAGCGTCTAAGATACATAAACTTGAACGTCAGCAGAGCTGCTCTGAGAGAAAACGTAAATAAACATTTCCTAGTTTTATTTGAGAAAAACCATTGTCAAATACACTCCGAAACTCAAATGTCCGCTACAACCCATCAAAATAAGTTCGATTTAATTAGAAATTATGACAGAAATATATTAGCATTGTACAATGTACTTCAAAGTTATAACAACAACAATAATAATATTCTTTATAATAAAATAATTTTAAACATTGTTTTCAAGGAATATCATGTTTGTCCATGTTTTAACGTTGCCAAAAATAAAAGTTGAAAATTTTCATTTGATAACATTTTAAAACATTAATTAAAATGTTAAAGTGTGATATAGATATACATAAGGTGTACAGCTTTATTTTTTTAATTGTTTTTTTAATTAATTTATTCAGAAGGGAGACTTCAATACTTTCATTAAAATGGTTTCAAGTTTGTTGTAATAAAGGATTTGTTCACTCAAATAACTTGTTCTTGTTCTTTTAAGAGTCATTGTTACTGATAAGAATTATTGTTTAATATACACCGTGATAACCGTGAAACCGTGATGTTCTCTGAGACGAGTATCATACCGTGAAAATATCATACCGTTAACAACCCTACTTCAGGTATACCTCTTAGTTGCACTACTTTGAGGAATATTTAGAGTATGAATATTATCTACAAGTTACAGTTACTGGTAATATGAAATGTTATGTGATAGATTAAAAGTTGTTGGTCTTGCCTCCTTTAGTTTCAGATTGGAGAGCTTGCTAACACACTCACCAACAAAATGGAGTTTTTGGGAATCGACAAGAAAGCCATCTCGAACTTTCAACTGCTGTTGCTGCAAACGGAGGTAAGAAAACACTGATATAAAGATCATAAGTGTAGTGGTTCATGCTATATAAATAAAACAAATAACAATAATATTAAATAACAATATTATAATAAAGGTTAATATATACAATGCATACAGATAATATTGTTATAGTATTGTGTATACATTAACAAATAACATTTAAACAGTTTTTTATATATATATATATATATATATATATATATATGCTGTCAATATTTCCCTTCCACCAGACGCGGATCTCAGACTGGCGAGAGGGTGCTCTGAACGGAAACTATCTCCGGCGCAGGCTGCAGGAAGCTGCCGAGCACATAAAACATTACGAACTTAACGCCGCTCCCAAAGGCTGGTCCTGCCACTGGGACAGGTACGCGCTCCTTTCCTTTCACATCCTTATCACTCCCCCTCTCTAAAAGTCCCCCTCCTCATGTGACGATTGACACTGCTTCAGCTGCTATGGCAAACGCGCAACTGATTTGCACTTGGTTGTATTACTGGGGAGTGTTTACGAGCACGGATTAAGACAGGAGGTAATCCTGATAAGGGAGCGTCTCTAAAGAGCCAGCCTGACCACCAAAGATTTGGGCCCCATCTCCTCCCCTCAAAGTCAGTCTAAAGTGTTAGGAAGGTGGTTGCGCGTGCGAGAGCTTTGAACTTTACAGGACTGCCCCCAAAATGATGGGAGAAATGAGTGACACAGAGTGACCACGTGGAAGCAGCGTGTCACACGAGCATCAGTAAAGGAAGACGATGCCTTACCCTTGGAGCCTGAAGGTCAGACCAATCTATTTCATTGTTTTACTGGATTTCTTTTCCATGCACACTATTGATGACTGTTCATTAAAAATGTTGTCTTTTACCCTCTGTTGAAGATGCCTGCCTTAAGGCATCTAGCGGAGGGGTTTTGTCACTATCAGTGTGAGTATTGCCATGACAATTGAGACGAAGTGATTTGTAATAATGTCTGTAAGCTTTTCAGGATTGGAAATTTCTCTATTTTTTTGCCATGTTTTTTCTTAGAGAATAAGGTGGGTTCATTATCAGTGCACCCCTTCTAATCTGGCTTCTCCTCTGGGCTCCCAATGAATCCCAGTTCAACATTCCCTCATTAGGGAACTAGAGCCCCACTTTCCTTTGACTCTCCAATGGTCTCATGACCTTGAAATCAGTTGAGGGAACAGTTGCTAAGACGCTACTGTGTGTTTGTTTCTCCACCTCTAGAGAGCACAGACGGTACTTTTATGTGAACGAGAGGACCAACGCTTCCCAGTGGGAGTTTCCAGTTGTGGAGGAGAATGAGGAAGCCAAGTCGCCCCCGCCGCCCACTTCTGGCCTCGGAGACACTAGCCAACCATCTACAGAAACCACTGGTGCTATAACAGGTAAGGGTTGTGGGTGATGACATCTTTTAAATATGAATTAAAATTTCAGTTTATGCATACAATGAGTTGAATATTAGATGTCGAACGACAGTGGATTTTACAGATACCAATAGCTAGGTAGGACCACACTGGTCAATACCGATTAATCATCCGATACTTTTTAAAATGAATACTGAACGAAAACTAAAATAGTGCTTTACTGTTTAAAAAAAAAAGTCAAAATTAAATATTAATATTTATTATATATTGATCATTAAAGTTCACTTTCGGTGAAAATTCGCCTTTTTGAGATCAAAATATGTCACCTGCGAGATTCGTGTAGATCCGATGAGAAAATGTTTGGGGGGGAGGGGTCTTTTTACAGTTCCAGTAGTACCAACTCAATTCTGTACCTGCTCGAAGTCACCCGCTTTCAAACTCTCCTGTGTGTTTTTGTGTGCGCGCTCTGGTTTCGAATTACAAACCTAAAAGTTTCTATTTACAACGTGTTTTTGCATCTCTGTTGAAAGCAGTGGCCAATCAGAGGTGTTCACTGTAGGTTAGTCAGAATCCACTCTGATCTAATTTTTGTTTTCATAAGTTTGCATAGTTCTACACGCTCACAGATCTTCCTATTATAACAACACAAAAAGAAAGCATACACGATGTAAATAAGATATTCATTGTTTAGTTAGTTATTGATTATATCAGAAGTTTCCGCATGCTCGGTTTTTACTTCATTCACAGTTTGAAGAAAAGTGTAAGGGGACCAAACCGTCCACGTATACTGTTTCAGGAATGACAAACGCGAGTGTAAAAAAATTACGTGAGTGAATCCGCCAAATTGATCCGTCATTGACGGTGATAACTATAGCAATGGACGGAACAAACTATCTGACAAGCCAATGTCAAAACAGAGCTGTGCTTTAAGTAGGAATGTAACGATTCACTCAACTCACTCACTCAACTGATTTTTTTATTTATTTATTTTTTACAAACTTAGATTTAAGACAAATTATAAATTAAATGTGTCCTTTTATTATTGCTTGGACAAAATGCTGCACATTTCTTTGTGAAATTGAAATATAACTATAATAATATACCAATATAGCATGTATTATTGCTCTTTTGTTGGTTTTGATTGCTTCTATTGTCCTCATTTGTAAGTCGCTTTGGATAAAAGCGTCTGCTAAATATAATGTAATAAAACTAAATTGAAATTTTAAAACAAGCCCCAAATCAAATAAATAAGTAACACAAATCACAAATAACTCTTCATATAAACAAAATAAGGCTTTGTCTGTGCTCTTTTCATTTAAAATGAGAGGCAACCACTGCATTTTAATCATGATCCAAACAAAGATGCTGCATACATGCAACATGAGCAGTTTTTAATCTAAATTAAGTTGTATAATTTCGACTTTGACTTCAGTTTTGTGAAACTATACATAAAAATATCTGCATGAAACAGCAGAGGAGCTGAATGAGACGCAGATTCACTCTCTGCCAGCAGGTGGCGCTTAAAGCGTTTCCTTGGTTTCCGCTGTAAA